TTTACCCATTCCTTGCTCTTCCGTGTTTTGGAAGTGTTGAGAAGAATAGGTATTCACTTTTCTTTGAATCTTTGTTAGAATTTGCCAGTAAAACAGTCTAGCCCTGGGCTTTTGTTTGTTGGGATTTTTTTTTTATTACTGACTTAATCTCCTCACTAGTGATCAGTCTGTCCAGATTTTCTTTTTCTTCATGATTCAGTCTTACAAGATTGTATGTTTCTAGGCATTTATCCTTTTTTTCTCAGTTCTACAATTTGTTGCTGTATAGTTGTTAATAGTAGTCGTTTAACGATCCTCTGAATGTCTGTGGTATTATTTGTAAGTTTGCCTCTTTTGTTTCTGATTTTATTTATTTGAGCCCTCTCTATTTTCCTGTTTTTTTCTCAGGTGAGCCGAGCTAAAAGTTTGTCAATTTTGTCTATCTTTTCAAAGAACCAGCTCTTTGGTTTTTTATCTTTCCTTTTCTTTTTTCTTTCTTTTTTTTTTAAGTCTGTTTCATTTGTTTCCACTCTGATCTTGATTATTGCCTTCTTTCTACTAACCTTGGGCTCCGTTTGCTCTTTCTCTAGTTCCTTTGGATGTAAATTAGACTGTTTATTTGAGATGTTTCATGTTTCTTCTGTTAGGCCTGTATTGCTGTGAACTTCCCTCTTAGAACTGCTTTTGCTGCATCTCATCAATTTCAGAATGTTGTATTTCCATTTTCACTGGTCTCGAGGTATTTTTTTTTTGGGAGGTGGGAGGTAATTAGGTTTATTTATTTATTTTTTTAGATGGTGGTGCTGGGGATTGAACCCAGGACCTCATGCATGCTAGGCATACACTCTCACTGAGCTATACCCTCCCTCCTTGAGGTATTTTTTTTTTAATTCCCCTTTGGTTTCTTCATTGACCCATTGTTTGTTCGGTAACATGTGGCTTAGTCTTCATATATTTGTGATTTTGTTTTTGTTTTTAGCTTTCTTCTTATAATTGATTTCTAGTTTAATACCATTGTGGAAAAGATGTTTAATACCATTTCAACCTTCTTACATGTGTTGAGACTTTGTTCTGTTCCTTTCTCTTTCTCTTGCTCTCTTCCCTGTGGTTTGATGACTTTCTTTAATGTTATATTTAGAGTCTTGTCTCATTATCTTTTGTGTACCTACTGTAGGTTTTTCCTTTGTAGTTACCATGAGGTTCACATATAGCAGCCTGTAAATCTATAAATAAAATAGCCTATTTTAAGCTGACAGCAACTTAAGTTTGAATGTACTTTAGAATGTCTACATTTTTGCTCCTCCCCCACCTTTTGTTTTAGATGTCATATTTTACATCCTTTTGTTTTGCATATTCCTTAGCTATTTATTGTAGTTGTAATTAATTTTACTACCTTTGTCTTTTAACCTTCATGTTAGCTGTGTAAGCAGTTAACCTACTACCTTTACTATATATTTGCCTTTACCAGTGAGATTTTTACTTTCATACATTTTCTTGTTGCTAGTTAGTGCCTTTTCCTTTCAGTTTAAAGAAATCCCTTTCACATTTTTGTGAAGCTAGTTTAGTGGAGATGAACTCCGTTAGCTTTTGCCTGGCTGGAAAACTCTTTATCTTCCCTTTGAGTCTGAATAATAACCTTGCCGGGTGGAGAATTCTTGGTTGGAAGTTTTGTCCTTTCACGATATACTCTGCGTACATCATGCCACTCCCTTCTGGCCTGGAAAGTTGCTGCTGAAAAATCAGCTGACCCTCCCACCTTGGGGGTTCCCATGTATGTAACAAGTTATTTTTCTCTTGCTATTTTTAAGATTCAGTCTTTAACTTTTGATATTTTAATTATAATGTCTTGGTATAGATCTCTTTGGGTTCATCGTATTTGGAACTCACTGTACTTCCTGGACCTGGATGTTTGTTTCCTTCCCCAGGTTAGGGAAGTTTTCAGCCATTATTTCTTCAAAAGGTTCTCTGCCCCCTCTCTCTCTCTCTCCTCCTTCTTGTTCCCCTACAATATGAATGTTATTCTGCTTGATGCTGTCTCATAGGTCCCGTAAGCTGTCCTCACCTTCTTTTTGCTGCTCTGCTTGGGTCAGTCCCACTGCCCTGTCTTCTAGGTTGCTGGTCCATTTTTCTGCTTCATCCAGTTTGCTGCTGAACTCGTCTAGTGTATTCTTCCGTTCAGTAATTGTATTCTTCAGCTCTGTGACTTCTGTTTAGACTTTCTTATATTTTCTGTCTCTGTTGAAGTTCTCATGTGTTCATCCATTCTTCTCCTGAGTTCAGTGAGCATCTTTATAAGCATTACTTTGAATATTGATTGATTGATTGATTGTTTTGGAGGGAAGGTATTAGGTTTATTTATTTTTAGAGGAGGTACTGGGGATTGAAGCCAGGACCTCGTGAATGCTAAGCATGCACTTCACCACTGAGCTATACTCTCCCCCCTTATAACCATTACTTTGAACTCTTTATCAGGTAGATTACTTACCTGTTTCATTCAGATCTCTTTCTGACATTTTATCTCAGTCTTTCATTTGGAACCTATTCCTCTGTTTCCTCATTTTGCATGATTTTCTGTTTCTGTGTATTAGGCAAAACAGCTACCTCTTCTAGTCTTAAAGGAGTGGCCTGTGTAGGAGAGGAACCTTATTGTTCAGCCTTGCCCTTGCTCTTAGTTGGCTCTCAAACCTTTGTGCTTGTCTGAGTAGCCTGGTTTATTTTTGATCTGTCCCAGTTGTTGAGGGTGTGCCAAGACCTGTCAGTGTTCCAAAGGGAGGGCTGTCAGTCAGCACCTGGTTTCAGGCTGATTGGAATCCACATCCTCAGGCAGCAGCTTTTAAAGTATGCAAGTGCACACAGTCTTGTGGGACCGTAACTGTAAACCCTGCTGACCTCCAAATCAGGAGATCTGGAGATACCTGCTGGATAATGGCTGCAAAAACTGGAGCTTCAGATGAGTGTATAAGCTCCTTTCTGGGAGGTACCACAAGCTGCTGCGAGGCCGAGGGAAGGTGCAAGGATGGTGTCTCCCTGCCTACGTGGCCAAGAGCACCTCTGTAGCCACTACATGTGTGGCAGACCTGCAGCCTGTCCCTCAGGTTGAAGCTCTAGAATAAATAAATGGGCCTTTTTCACAGGCAGACCAGGGTATATTTCAGTCTGCTCTGTGCGCAGTACCCTGGGTGTGGTAGACTGCCCAGGACTAGCTTTCCAACTGTTTCCACAGTGTTAGCGATGCAAGAGAAGAGCACAGGGGCGGGGTTGCTGCAGCTCTACTGAAGTCGTACCTGGGTACAGCCACCTGCGCTAGCAAGGTGTGGGGAGCACGCAAACATGGAGTCTGCCAGCGCCTTCCTCCCTGACGAACATCCCAAC